TGCTCATACCTCAACTTCAGATATTTTTTGCTTCCATGCGTGCAACCCTACAGATGACTTGGCACGGTACTGTATCTGTTGATGCTAAATCGATGAGTCATCTGTCACATGGTGAGACATGCAGATATTTTGACTGTACTTACTTGGATTTTGTAGTTAAAGTATGCAATGTTAAACTTGGGTTATGTGCGGATGGCTTCACCCAGCACAACCACACTGCAACACCGTACTCATGCTGGTCAGTGATCATTACGCCGTACAATTTGCCATTTGATATGTGCATGATCGTACCGTTTTGACATTGATCATACCAAGTCCATATAGCCCGAAAGGGAAAATCAATAATAGATAAGACAGGAGTAAAATGCATAATATCAACATATAAATTGATAGCAAACTCATTAGAAATGAAAGAGTATAATGCACCTGAATCAAATAGAATAGTGTTAGAATGATCTTGAATCAGAAGCGTACATGTAACCACTTTTTTAGATTTTTTGGTTTGTTAAAAGATAATTACAAAAACTCTGGCTTTTATTAGTTGCTCGGTTCTACGCTATGAAGTTTCACCATTGATTTGAGTTGAAGGCTCTCTCAAAAGTCAAATTTTATTGGATTGACTACTTTCTAAAAATTTTTTGGTTTGTCCTTGTCCTTGATTTTTAGTGATATGTTATATCTTTTCTTTTTCTGCAGATAATTCATCCGAAGAAGCCCTGATTGTCCACATTTGAGCACTATTTTGAACCCATTAAACACTGGCCAAAATGCTTTTTTTCCCCAATTTTCACAAACTGTTTTTTCTGACAGTGGCTGCTTTTGCTTTTTTTTTTATTTAATTTTTTTGCTTTGAAAGTCTTCTCCTTTGCCAAAATCTTTTTTCTTACTTGCCTGAGGTTGCCACCGCTGACTAGAGAAGTTGATCTCGTTTTCAACTCACATGACTCTTTCAACTAACGCTGAGAAACCATTGATTTTAAACGACGCCAAAGTCAACCTTAAGTTGTCTCTAGGACCAAACAAAAATTTGTGACATTTTTTTTCCCGAGTACTGACATAATGAGGTGCATATCTTATAAGAGAAATAAATTCCGCCTCATATTGCATAACTGATCTAGTCCCTTGGGTCAAATTGAAAATATTATCTTGCAAAACTAATCTGGTTGAAGGTGGAATAAACCAATCATTGACGTTTTTAACAAAATCATCACAAAATCATCCCATTGAATTTGTGGAAGATGTGCGAGCTGAAGTATCTTTCTATGATGTGTCTGGCATCACCTCTCAGCCTCATCTTCTAACATAAAAGTGGCTAGCACCACTCTCATATTTTCCAGACAAATCATACCATCCAGAACTTTTTGATCTTTAATAGCAATTTTCAGTAATTGTAGGGTTGTCGACACCCTTAAATGCAAATGGTTTAAATGTTTGAAGGATTTTCAAGTGCTGATCAATTTCTGCCCCATGTTCAGATTTGAATCATGTACTAGTGAATGATTTTTCAATAACAGTCATTTTGTCAATTACTTGTGATATCAGTTGCATAATGCCCTATAATTCAGTTGCTCTGGTTTTCTCATTTGTCCTGTTCTAATTATTTTTTATGTTCGAGATATTTTCAGCTTGTACTTCTTGATCTGTAATTAGCCTTCCAATTCTCTTTCAAACATATTCATCTGTATTGGCTTATTTTTTATCAAATACAATCTATCTTATAATAATTATATTGTGCATTTATGATATCATAAGTCATGTGGTAACCACCCCAAATTCATTATCTTATTGTTATGTATAAATCAATTCATATATAATCTCATTTTTTAGTTTTTCTAAATACAACACGATTCCATCATTTTTTTCATCAAATAATAATGCTTTAATACCACTTTCTATCACACCTCAACTAGCTCCTTTAAGGGTCGTTTGAGGTGTGATAGAGGCGGACGATTTGGTCATACTAAATTCTTATCAACACTCGTCTTGAATTGTATAATTAGGACAGTGTTGGGGTGCGATAGAGGCAGACAATTCAATCATACTAAATTCTCATCAACACCATCCTGAATTGTAGAATTAAGACTTAGTGAGTGATGAACTAATCTAGCTAAATCACCACAAATATACTTGATAAATTTCATTTCATAATTCATTCACATTTATATATATTTGGAAGTGTGAAAATCAAATCATCAAAATATTTATATCTTTATATAGAACTGCTAAATCTAATAAAATAAAAGTACATATCCAAAAGTCTGTATAAGCCCCCAAAATTTTGAAATGCAAAAGCTGGACAAGTCGTACTTGGTAACTCACTCGGTGTTCCTTACCCCTAGTTAACAATGTAGAGTGAGCAACAACGAGCTCAGTAAGATAATCAAGGTTAAAATAAGATTTTGTAAATGGAAAACAAACGTGAGTACATGTATGTAATCCATGTAAATGTTCACAACACATGACATAAAGGTATGAAACATGTAAAAGAAAAGACATGCAATGCAGTGAATCATGACTGTTGTATAACACATGTATTTTATCCATTCATGCATAATCATAAGCATCTTCATGAGTTTCATATGTTATTGTATAGGCGTCAACTATTTTTATATCATGTCATATCATGGGTCGTCATAACTATTGATAAATGTTTGCCTCACCAACACAGCGGTTATCAATAGCCCCTCTGGTTTCAACAGTTCTCCACATTTTTTTGTCATCTGATCCCAAAGATTTTCGGAGTTTCGTCACCTTCTGATTACTAGGACTTAAGAATCTTATCGTGCTTTATCATTCGT